TCTCAGTTTGTTGAAGGCCTTTATTTATGTATTCAGATGCTGTGTTAAGAAACATTAAAATGAAAACATTGTCCAACATCAAACTGATGCATATTCTCAGATGAATGCGCCAATATTCGCTGTCACCCGTATGCGGAATGCGAAAGAGGTCGTTGTATTTGTCGATCGGGCTACGAAGGCGATGGGTATTATGACTGTCGACCGGTGCAAACAGGTAAACCACATCAAGCATGCCATGCACGCGTGATATCCCTCCTTGCACATGCTTACAAAAAATGCACGCCCGCACCAGTGCATCAATGATATTTATAATCGCTGTAATATTATTTCTCACGGAGATGGCACCTGAACAGTATTGGATAAGATTGCATTGTGCTGCCTGGGAACAATTGCTTCATGCATTTTGACATTTGTGATGATGGAGTAGTTGAACAACTTGGAAAAAATACCCAGAATTTAAAGCCAAGATAAATTATTAGAGTTTAAGTATAGCTAGAATGAAAACCGATCTGTTTCTAATCCCTAATAATGCACCTATTAATACCACTTGAAAACGTCTTCTGTTGTCTTATTTGGTAACATGAGTTGCTACGTTCATAGGTACACGTTTCCAAATGAAATGTATTACAATTTCGGAATGTGTCATGAATTCTTGCATTTAGCATCAGAAGTTTTGCTTGGCGGTTGGCATGCACTATCAAGGACAGATACCAAATACTCGCATGTATCCTGGTATTCGCTCTGGTCATCAGCGCAGAACCACACTCGGATGGTAAACTGTACATTAACGGTCTTTTTCTCATTTTCAATCAGTTTCTGGCATTTCAAAAGTCTAAGCCAACTTCGTGAGATTCTGTTACAGGAAATTTACTCAGTGTTCCTCGGCCCTTTTTGAGGGTGTGCATTTATCCTTTCGTAACTAAAAGTGGACTACAAGATAGAAGTATGTTGTTGCACAGTCCCCGGTGGGTCAGTTGCCGTTGGATAGATGCATATATAACTCAGGGATCAATGCTTTTCTGTAAGTTGGATCTGGGAAAATTTTTAAGTTCAACGAGTTGAAATATGGGCCAATCAGTTTACATACATCTTAAATCCTCCCTCTAACTTTTCTCTTTTGTAGCCTAATTATGTGCCCACTGTATAGGGAATACACAAAGAGCTCGATAAAAACCACACAGTTAAAAGAATCCACTAGTTGTATCTATGAGCTGCTGATTTTATCACGAGCTGCAGAAACTCCGGATGCATTTCATATTCGTCAGCTTTGAAATAGTTCTGTGGCTACGCGACCAAGACGAAGTCTCTCTCGGTCCCGTTTGCCGGTCACTATCAGTTCCACTAACTACAAACATTGTTGCACTTTCAAATCTATTTGTGTCCAGACCCTTGCTTCAATGTGGTATGTTACAAAAACTCATTCTGCAAGAATGGTCGATGTCAATGCGACCCGGGTTACACGTACGACCCGATCTACCAGTACTGCAGACCAATTAGACCTGGTGAGATTGGATGAATTGCCCTGACTATCCTTTTGCTAACCGATCGGATAGTTGCATGATCAAAGCCCCCAAACACTCGAACGTACCAAACATCCTGTAGTACCTTGTTTGCAGACCACCACCGGCTGAACCGTTCAGCTACATCAAAAATGCATGCATGTTATCCCGAGCAACTAAACGAAAATGGATCTTACGACTATCAACGCACACAAACACACGCACTTACATACACACACACACACACAAATTTTGATGCATTGGTATTCTTAGTTTTATAGNATTTGTTATTTGGAATGTTTCTGTTGTAAGAAGAAATATTCTGAGGTGATTTTTCTTTAAGTTTACCCCGCTGACATTTTACCCGACAATGTGGCTTCAGAAATTCACCTCACCCGGCCCGGCGGCACGAGTTACCTATTTGTTGTATGCTTCTGTGAGAAAATACTGGGGGATGTTCCATGATAAAAAGTTTGGACTTTGCTTCTTTAGAAAAACCGGATATTCCCAATCTGGTCGAATGTTTCCGTGTGGTGTGTGCGGGGGAGGGAGAGGGTGAGTAACTGGGACGATACTCACGCAATAGTATGGTAACAGTTAGGTAAATAGAATTTCCTACAAGTCAGAGGTAGGACAAAACATAACCTGGTGAATAATGAATTATGTACACCAGTTGTTCGAACTAGAGAGAATGCACTGTGGAAAATGTATTGCATGCAGAGATTCGGTAAGTCAGGGTTTTTGTTCTGCTCACTAATGGGCTCCGCATGTTCAACTTCTATGACGACATTAACTGGAAGACGACAAGATGGGGTAACAAAGTAATGTACTTTTGTTTGCTGCAAATTAAACCCGAGGGCTACTTGAATATTATCAACGAAGGCCCGTTGATTATCCTCTTTCCTTTCATAAATAAACAATTTTACAACTGTTTATTCTGTGATAGAAGGTACAATTTTACTTTTGATATTATTCCAAAATTTAACCGCCGAAATAAACAGACATAAGTCATATGTATAAGGAAATCACAAAGCATAAAGAACATTATTAATGTTTCTGAGTCCAATGGGGATCACGTTTGAGAATCTCAAGTGTGCTCCATATAACACAGAAATACATTCAACACAAGTATTAGACTGATAACTTAGATGATATTTAGACAAGAAATAAAAGGTGAAAGTTTTGTGCAAACATCAGTCCTAATGGCTTGCCTGACTGTCAGCATAGATTGCAAAATTTTAGAAAAATATTTTGAACAACCGAATTGGGCGATTAAATGAAATCTTTTTATGAAAAAAGTGAGGTTAACAGCTCTTTCTCTTTAGAATTCCTGCTGCACCGACCATATTTGCCCTATATGAATGTGCTTGATAAAAATTGTGAAATGTTCCGGTTATTTTTATTGGTTACTTTCGCACTAATTGTGACCGAAAGATGATTCGCCGTCAAAAGATTTCCTTCTCTTCAACCGCTGGCAAGCTTATCGCTTGGGCAGCCTTGAAGCCTATATAGAAGCTTGCCAACCCAAATCACCACACTAACTGTGCCATGCACGCCTACTAACTTGTGAAAAACAAACAGTTTAATCGACAATGCGGTTACTCACCAAATTCAATACTTCACACTCTCCTCAGATCCATGTCTCAATGTGACTTGCCAGCAAAACTCTTACTGTCAAGACGGTCGGTGTCATTGCAACCCGGGCTACACGTACAATCCGACTTACGGGTACTGTATGCCCCTAATTGTCGGTAAGACAACATAATCTTGCGTAAATCAGCTTCTCTACCCGGGGACTGTCCTCGATGCTGCATGAAATGCATAGAGCTTAATACCAGCGCTGCATTGCTTTCACGTAAAAGATATATTCGTTATTACCATATCCTGTGACATTGACTTCGGCTCTACGCAAACGCGCATGGTTACAAATGAAGCTGCATTGATTTTCTTGCTGTGTTGCTGTTGTTTTCGCTGCTGCCTACGCCGCTACTCTGCTCCACTGTGCTTGTGAATTCGGAACTCACAGGCATAGAAGCAAAACAGTACGTGTACACTTGTCTTTCACCAATTCTACGTTTCCTCTTCCTCTGCTTTTGTTTTCAACCGTCTTGAAGTTTTAGTTGTTTACACTCAAGGGCTGTCCTTTTAGTATAGCCCATCCATCTTTCTTTCTCTCTTTTTGTATTACTACAACGGAAGCTAATATGATGACGGATAAGTGTTCACAACAAGCCGATGCGATCCGAGTCAGTACTGTTCTGAATGAGGATGTCACTTGATGCTGCCGCATTTGTCACACTAAATCTTGACTTACATTTATAACCTCAAAATCGAGTAGCTTCTCGCTTGTCTTGTTGTGCATGCCTATAGAAATATAGAATCTCCCAAACTAACTGGTGTCAACCGTGTGACATTGAAGTGCGGATGAATAACCCCATCTGGAAGGTTTACTGATTCATTTGGATTACCTCATGATTCCAAATATTTTAATTTTTGTCTGTCTCCAGATCCCTGCTTTACAAAAGCCTGTTTCAAGAACTCGTTCTGCAAAGGTGGACAATGCCATTGTCTCCCAGGTTTTCACTTTGACTCATGTGTTCAGTACTGTAGGCCAACGATAACGGGTAAGCGCTCTAAGGGACTGTCAAACGCAACACTTAGTTTGCCTCTAGTGTCAGAATTTGCTCTGGACATTAATGAAAACAAACAAACACACAAACCACTACTCCGGTTTGTCTAGTACTAACCGAATGATAGTAAAACTAAACCGGTGATCGACCGAAGCATGATCTATGGTGACAAGTAAGAACTCACATCTTCCTTTGCATGTTTCAACTGATCTGTAGTTTTCAGCTCCCTTAAACTCATCGATTTCGGTTGTGGCGATTCGTATTTTCACCTAGCGCGCTATACCCACTTAGTGGTATTGCTCGCTGTCTATCAAACCACGGTAGCTTGGTTTTCAAGATTACTTTGGGTAAACATTTGGAACTGCAACAAAATAACATTTGATTTGATGACAAAATTGAATTGATCTAAAGCTGTTAAGTGCTTGTTGGAATTGAGGGTTTCACAAACAAAAACCACAAGTACAATACAGAACCGAATGTTAAGCTGTTCATCCAATTCCTGGCAAAAGCCCACAGAACAGGAGGAACCAAGTATTTCGTTTCTGCTGAAATGCTCAATATGATGATTTAATCATTCGTCAACAGAACTACCAGCCGGGAAACAAGGCGCTGAACACCCGGAAAGCTTGGTGGCGTAAAGCTGGCACAGTTTACCTAAAGTTTAAAGAGAACATTTGCCTTAGGACCTGTTGGTTGATGCGACAACTGTCAAATACAAAAATAACGAAGGTTGAGCAGCTTTTGTGTACTATCCCTATATGATTCTGATTAATGATTTTTTGACCTACAGAATCGATGATGTGAGACCGAGCTATACGGTTAATTACCTCAAACAGTTGTGGTCGTACTGCTTATCACCTGATACCAAAAACTAATTTACTTGCATTTGAGGTGACAACCTAGATAATGATCTCATTTTTAGTCCGTCGTTGAGCAATCAAACAGCATACCAGAAGTTAGCAACGGAAACTAGTGCGCCAAGGAGCACAGTTAATCATTGGTCATGTGCCATCGATGCTAACTTATTTTCTGTGCTACAGTATTGAAGGTGACTTTATTGTTTTTCAGTGAAATCGCCATTTTTGCCGTTAAAAGTGAGAATATACATTGAGTGGTTGTCAAACTCACTGTTTAGACCTAGGAACGCAAAACCCTGAGTGGTAAATACAACGCTGGAAGTCCCTTGGAGGAACAAAATGCATGTAATGTTCTATTAAGTCCCACTGTGTTCCAACCAGTAGGAAGCTGTGATATAATAATAACACGCGCACTTAGGCGGGACAATTCTTGTCAAATGTCTTATTTAGTTAATTGATTGGATGTCAAGTAGCATCTCTTTTGCTATATTAAAGCTGTGATACTCTTATTTATTGCAGTTCGGTAGTATACGTTCGCACGATTTTAGTGTCGTTATGTTTGTTCTGTTTTTGGGACGCTGCAATTGGTCAGCAGTTCTGTGCCGAATAAAATGGCGCTTTAGTTGCTTGTTCTTGATAACCAGCCGCCGTAACATTGCTTCATTACTGTAGTTTGTTATTTTGCTGTGTGATATGTACTATTGATATGTGCCAAAATGTTTTCGACGAGCGTGCTATTCGTCTGCTCCTTTCTTATCAACCAGAGTAAAGACAAAAAACAATGCGTCAGTTTCTTACCCAACCAGGACCAGCACTGTATTAGAAAAAGCAGTCCATACCAATGCAGGTTTCGTGGTTAGTATTCTGTGATATATGCGCAGTATACAACACACGGAAATGGGTAGGCGTTGAAAGATAACCGTTTTCTCACCACTTGTCAACTCAATGTATAGTAAAATCACTTGAGAAGTGAAACGCAACCAAATTTTCCTCTTTTCTTAAGAGTGCCGCTTGTGGGCTCAGCGAATGCCTCATTGTTCTACAGGGTTTCTCAGCTTAGTGTTTCAGCTGAGTAATTTTTATGGAACATTTTTTAAACCTTGTACTAAGAGGTACCGCAATTTCTATTGCCCGAAAAACGTCCAACTTCCAATCCAATCCCATATCTGATTTAAAACTTCGCAAGACACAGTTTAAGAACATGTATTCCTGGGCACTGTAGGTAAATCAATTTGTGATATGGAAAACAGTTGGTTATCGTTCAACGTACAAAGGGTCTTTATTACCCAAGTTTCGTTGGTTACGATTCTACAAGATTTGGTTAACTACCAGATTTCCGGTTTTTATGATTTTTCTAACATATGGGGGTTGCAGAAGTTCCAAAACTAAACTAATGGACCAGCCGTTGGTTTTTGTAGCCTCTATTCCTTGAAACAATTTCTGAAGTGGAACTGTGTTCCTACAGTATCTCTGAGTTAAGGAGTATTGTTGCACCACGAGTTGCTTTGTTGTATGATGTGTGATGATTGGCCTTGTCCAATAGAATTTAGTCTATTGGCATTATGAAATGCTTCCCTATTCGCTACCGCATGTCGCCCTCCCCCCCTCCGGACTGCAGATGAAGGTTGAAAATGATTCGTTCGTATGTAAACTGCATAGGTAACTGGATTGTCCGAAATATGGAATGTATCATCGATCCCCTGGTGCGTGAACGTATAGGTTAAACCTAGTCATGTTCCCCTGCATGGGAAAATACCCAGGTCATCCTAGTTACGGATTTATCGCAAGAACCTACCAAATGATAAATTCTCATGCTGTTTCACAAATGACAAACAAAATCACAGTCTTGAACTTGTGAGGACCCATTGATTTTCCACCGTGCTTCCAATCTCCGTACTACCGCATCTATGCCCTTAGGGTTATGTGGTCGAGTTCAATGCCATCCAAATGCTTACTGTGAAAACGAGCGTTGTCAATGCCGCCCAGGTTTCGAAGGCGATGGACGCCTAACCTGCCAGCCCCTAAATATACGGGGTGAGTGTCACTAACTGGATCGCGTCTTGCATATATCAACTGACAGTCCAGCCACAAAGGCTGGCCATTCCTGTCAGATGGCCATTCTAACCTACCAAACTTAAATTCCAATCCTTCATGTGTCCGCCCCGCCCCAGATCCGTGCACTTTTGTCGTCTGTCATCCACAAGCCGTTTGTTTTATGGGACGATGCACTTGTCGACTCGGATATCAGGGTGATGGCCATCATTACTGTCGTCCTGTCAGACCAAGTAAGCTCACAATCACTAAAATTAACCAACACACACGGCTAACCGCTAACCGCATGGAGGACTCCAAAGGTTTCGGGGTCGGTGATGCCTCCAGCATGTATTATTTCCTATGATTATGCTGGAAAAGGTAAATAAAAGTAAAAAGTGGCATTGATTTTATGAAAATCGTTAGCAGTCCCATACATTTCGACAGCACTATGCGGCGCGATAAATGCACGTCCATTATTGGCGAATATTTTCTAAGGTTTTTATAGTTACATCTGAATGAGCTATGACTATATCACTCACTGTTATCTTATTCGAACAGTGCAAGCGTAATCACTGGCCAACACACTAAAAACAAAGCTCTCCGCTTGTGCACCATCAGCTTGATACCTAGCATTCTATGATTCTGCAGCCAGTGGGGATACTCACATGCATGGGTGAACAAACTAACTATGGACAAGTTACTACATGAACGCCGATGAAACGCCTGGACCGAAGAGTAGCTTACCTATTCTGTGTATCGTTCACTTCACGAAATCCGTCTCCATACCCATCATTTCTCTTACCCAAACCATGCAGGTCCATGTGTTGACAGCCAGTGCCCTCCAAATGCACACTGTGTAAACGATCGATGCCAGTGTAAGGACGGTTTCGAAGATGACGGATATGGATGTCGTGAACGTCCAGGTAAATGGTTTGCTTGCATTGAGTATCATTTTTTGAATGAAGGTTAGTAACTTTAGTCTATCTCGGTATGCCATTGCACAAGGATTCAAAAAGGAAGAAGTTGTTTCTCTCATTTCCATCTGTGAGTAAACGTAAAATGGAAACGCTGAGAATTTATTTTTCCGATACACTGTTTCAGCAAAGCTCGTTTTCAGTGATCCGCAGTCAAGTCAATGCATTAAATTTTTTATATAACTAATCAGGAATAAAATTTTCACGGGAAGAAAATGGTAGAACCAAAATCATAGACCAAATGGACGCCATATTGAGTGATCGGCCGAAATCCACCAAATTGGTGAAAAAGGATTAGACCTCCGAAATAGAAGGACAATAAGAGTTTAAGATAATTCAATCATAGAGGAGCCACTGATATATCCACTGTTGCACGTCAAAGGTCAATGGGTCTGTTATTTAGAGGATTTCTAGATTCCGAAAGCCACATGAAGACGGAGTATCTTTAGGATCAATTTTAGATGTGCGCAATTCCCCATATCACGCTCTGGTAAAATGGTTGGTTCAATTACCAAAACACGTTAGTATTAGAATGGCAAAGATACGTTCATTTCCGTAAAAAAATATCGTGACAATAATGGGGTCGGTCCTAACAATACTCTCGGTGGGTTTCAGCTCGTTGTTCACGAATGTTCCCATCAGAAAAGAAACAACTGAGTAATCTTGAAGTTTTATGCGAAGTAATAACATGAAATTATTCCTTCCTTTGGATGACCCTAAAATTTTCGATTCAAGGCTAATTATGAAATCTATCGACAAAAATGACGTGGTTAAAGGGTTTCCACCGGGATTGCGTTTAGAAAGCACATTGATGGTGAACCTGGGATACACTCAACTACGATCATACATCGAAGTCTGTGTAACATATACACAAGGTAGATGGATAATATTTTTTATGTGACCAACGCAAAATCAGACCCAATAAAAACATTAATCGGGTTCAAAACTGTCAATCAAAACACAAGGTTTACTTTACAAATGGAATATAACAATAAATCGCCGTTTCAGGATGTGCGTATCACTCATAGATCAGATGATTCGATGCAGAGTCCCGTGCACATAAAAACCACTTGGGAAAACCAAGAGACCCAATTTTGAAGCTTTGCATCGCTTAAATAACCTGATTCGTTGCCCAGTGGACAGGGCAAGGGCTAGGACAAGCTAGAGGACAAGATCCAGTTTATAGCATCAATATTTGCACGCAGTGGGGTCCGGAACGTAGCTAAAAAACGATTCATTTCCAGGGGCATACTTCGCAGAACACCGAGATTAAGAGAAAGTGTGTGTAAATTTCCTCACCGTTCAAGAGAGACACATCAGCTGAGATCATACAAGGGAGAGTATTTGAAGCAACTGAAATATTCGTTCTCTGCATTCACGCTCCATATGTTGTTGACATCCAAGCCAATTTTATTTGCAACTGAACGAAGAAGTCCCTTACTCCGCATTGTTATTCTCTGAATACATACTTACTTTTTCCTGTGAAACAACGTATACGGCCCGCACGGTCAGATGTTTATCCACCGACCGGAACGTATAGGTGACTCACCAGTTCAAGGGTTTCATGCCTAGCTAAAATAAACCACAATGTGAACGCGACTGAGATTTTCCACCTCCTGTATGACGTTTGTGGTCAATTATCAGGATGTGTTGGTTGTCAGAGGCTAGTCACAGCAGAGTCGGTGGGAAGTCGTCTGTGTGCTCGAAAACAATTTGTGTAGAAGCTTAATCTCTTCTGGCCCACTTCACACTATGTACACATTTACCGAATAATCTCAATAATCGAATGAGTAAAGAAACAATCAAGCTCATATTGAATCCAACTTCCTATCTCATGATGACATCAATCCTAGTGATTTGATTAATTTCTTCCCCCAGACAATTTTATTCTTCATTAGTGATTTTATTTTGCTGTATTGATATGATTACTAGTTACTGAGAAAGACCTTGTTCTCTACTCTGTTGTTTTGTTTATGATGTGCTCTGTGGGAACATTCGGATAGCAAATATGTACATATGTAATAAGTAGTATGTGAATGATTAGACAAAATTTTCCCGAAGGTACTCATCCAGTTTCGTGGTTATTGTCACTTATCAGGTATGCGTATCCAGTATTTTTCTCGTCCAGTCATTCTGATACGTGATACCCGGATATGAATTTTAACACAAAGTTTTGATCTCCATTTCGGAAGTAACCCACAGAAAGACAGTTAGAATAGTACCAAAGACTAAGAACTAAGCAATATACTACTGCTGTCCGCAAAACGTGCACCTTGAGAAGCAGAATGGAAATTTATGTCAAATACAAATGGTACGGTTGATCAATCTATTGGTGTATGAACTGTATGAGCAGAAATGCAGCATATTTTGCTGATCAATAGAGGACAGTGTGACCACGATAAATGCATAAAGAGGAAAGGTGCGAAAATTTATGGAAATGAATGTTAAGAGTCTGGGATTGTTAAAAGAAATTCAGTGAATAACAAGTGGTAAACAAAGAGTGAAGTCTCCGCAATGAACCAAGGAATGATATTTTCTTGTGATCAGTAGAACTGCACTACTTGTATTAGATCACGTTCCTTTCAGCTCGAATTTCTGAATCCCCTACATGCTGGATCTATCGGGATCTTCCTGTGTTAAAAAGTTTGGGTATCTTAGGTGCTGTGAAAAAAACTGTAACAATTTCCCCTGGGTCAATCCTGTGTTCGCGGTCGACCAGGCCCTGCACAAATCAGCTGCTAGGTCTCCTTATTGTTTCTTGGTAATAATATTAATAGTAAACTGCTAGAAAAAACGTTGCAATGTTGTTAAAGTGTTTGCGCATGTTGTTTCCCCGGACGTACTCTAAGTTTCAACTCCTCTCGTGACACATACTCAACTACAGAAACAGTATTATTATATGCATATCATACATATCTTTTAATTAATCATGTGACAATTGCAATTTGTTTCACAATTTTCACCTGCACTACAATTTTGACTTCTTCAGTGTCTTGTTCTGTTGCTATCTATTCACTGTCGGAAGTCATAAGCCGCTGAGAGCTCAGTCTAGAAGTTCACAAAGCTTATCTTGACTTGACTTGAAATTCGCTTGCCATCATTCTTGCCACTTTGTATTCAGTCGGTCCAAGTCATTGTGCCAATTGTCAGGGTATACCGTTCAAGGAGTTGGCTCAGTGTGTCCACGGTCGTTGTGTCTGCACTCCCGGTTTTGTTGAGGTTCAACCCGGATTGTGTATTGAATGTGTACAAGAGAATTGTCATCCGAACGCACAGTGTCTTCCCAACCCACAATATAACAAGGCATACTCTTGCCAATGTAAGCGAGGATTTACCGGCGATGGTATTCGAGAGTGTCAGCCAGTAGGGCCAAGCGAGCCGGAAATAGAACGCCGATGTGACGGTCCCGAAGGTTGTCCCGTTCGAAACGCGGAATGTAACCGTGTGACTGGCAAGTGTGAATGCCGCCCGGGTTACGATGGAGATGGATATCGTATGTGTGCATGGAACTGTCGCATGTGCCTGCCTGATGCGGAATGTGATCAACAAAACGAACGATGCAACTGCAAACCCGGTTACTATGGTGATGGACAAACTTATTGTGAACGCATTCCGACCACACCAGGTTAGTGAGAACTTGACGTGTTTCGAAAAATATCCGTAACTAGAGCGGTCAAGTTTTATATGACTGACGGTTATTCGTTCGTCTCCCGCTCGTTAATACTTCCACCACACCCAGTCGATCTTGCTCTTATCGGGGTGATAGCACCTTGCAATCATTGCCAACCTTTGTTATTAATTTTATTGGTCTGTATGAGATATAGGATTGTACGAGAGTAAAACTGTGTTAATCGATGTGGAATATTTTTTTCTGTGTACTATGTCTCACCCTTATATTAATCGTTCAAAGCTGTTTAGTCCTTGTGCATTTTTCAAAGAAGGTGCAAGAGGTAAGTCACTTCAATGCATAGACTCGTTCTTCGTGTTCTCTGAAAAGACAAAATTCCTAAGCGTTAGTGAATCGTTTACTGAATAGATCCCCTGTTTGATCATACCATACCGCACTCATGACAAGTTTGCATATAACCCAAACTGTCAGATTACAAAATGGATTGTTGCCCACAAGTGACTTCCTAATTTTTATCGATATGGATATTGTTAATATGATAACTAATCTTGTGTTCTGCTCTCTGTATCTCTCTCAGTTTATTTACGGTCATCAATGTTTTTCTCACATAAACATTGCAGACTGTTCGGCAAACACACTCGAATATATTCAGTTTCTGAGTGAATAGACGAACATGGTAATTGGAAACAAACGTTTTATTTTTCTCTTTTACAGCTCCAATTCAAGTGCACATCACTGGTCAGGGTGACACTTATCGAATTGCTGATCTATCTCGTCCCCTTGAACTGCGCTGTTACGTAACCACACGAGACGAATCAATCACTGGTCAATGGATCCAACCCGATGGTTCGCAACACGCCGAGATTTCCATAACTCGGCTAAGTAATGGAACAGAATTATTGCTCCGCATTTCTCGACCAGCGCTAACTGATGTTGGACGATATCATTGCCGAGCAGGGCAAGTTGATGCGTTTATTGATGTGGCAGTTGAGGAAACTGCAAGTAAGTGTTCACAGTGCAATATATATATACATAATGTTCTGCTTTTGCGCCTCAAATAAACATTGGTCAAGTTTTATTACTTTTACTTTAGCAATGATTTGATTCACATACATAACAGCATCTCAATTCTCCTCCTCCCCCAAAATAACGCTATTCTTTATCCTGATTCACGAGATTCTTTTCATATTTTTCAGTACCTTACGACATTTTCTTGACTAGCGACGATGGTATTCTAAAGGTTCGGTCTAGCGGAATCAATTCCAGTGTTGCCAGCCTATGGAACATCGGTAAGTTCCGGTGGATTATCTGGTTGTGTTTCACCCGACGCTCATTAGAAAAGTCGACATTGTAAACAATTCTTGCGTTACTTACCTGAGTCAATTATAGTAATTTTAGTAATGTAAAATAGCACCAGCTTTTAGCAGCTGTTGTGTTAAATATATGCTCAGTTTATTGCCCACGTATGTCTTTTAGTGAAAATTGAGTGAGTGGCTGCGCAAGTGAGTGACTATATTCAATTCGATCTAGGCACAGTGAACGTAAAATGAATAGGGAGAAATTTCGACAATCGCTTACAATGATTGGATTGAACATTGGGGTACCCAAAGAGTTGCCAGAATGGGGTATGAGTCTCATCATCAGCCCTTAAATAAGCTTTATATAAATTATTTCGTTTGACTTATGGCTTTTACTCATTTTGTATTTTAGTAAGATGCTCTTATTTCTACCACGTTCTAACGCGGTATGGACTGATGTCCTATTGTGTATAAACGAATCCGTTTAATCTTGCACTGAGTTACATCGCTTTGTTTAAATGTGATACTCTCTCGTTTGTCCTTTTCTTCAAATTTTATTTATCATTTTTCTGTGCGAAATAAAAGCATTAGCTGCAATTCCTTCATATACAAGCTCATTTTTAGATGAACTATAGCTAAATATGCTTGGACAGTTTTCGTCAGTTATTGATTTTAGCGCCTTCGGTTTATTGGTCACCTGTCGTTGTCATCGTTCGTAAAATATAACTTAAGTTTTTGTTTCTCCTTTAAGCACCATCAAGAGTGGGTTACAAAGTTGCAACCTGGAACCTTGACGAAGATGCAAAATAACTGATTGAGTATGTACTGTGCTCTGTGATCACTGAACATGGTTTTGGTGACCAGTTATTAACCCTCACATGGTGAACGTCATACGTAATTTTGCTCCTTCTTATTATACTACTCGTGAATAGTTTGACCTTACATTAAAAATATTCTGCTTAGGTGTGTGGTCCTCAGCTTCAACCATTGTTTAACCGAATGAGTAATTTCCATCATCATAAATTTGCGTCTTGACCGAATCACTGACATACCGCTCTTTTTGAATTCCAGCGGAAAACAACAAGTACGGTCGGGTTGCCATGGTTGCTGACTGTAATACACAACGCATAATTTACACATCAGACTACGGTCATTCGATTCGATGGGGCGATGCCAACAAACAGCAAAAGAACCTGGTCACGACACAACGATTTTCGTCAGATCGACACAGATTTCGTAATTTGGCCATA